CAATTCTCCTCGTAACCTGTCCTTGTGAGTCGTATCAAGTGGGAAAGTGCAAGTTATGATCGCCCCCTTTCTAGTTCATATACCTCCAATTTATTTGTTTTCCTGACGAAAGAACGTAACTGCATATCGTCGTAACCCTCTCAAAAGAACGTAACTATTTTTCAATGTTGCCAAATTTCTTTCCGCGAATCGCATTTTTACAAGGAGAATCTTTGGCATTTCTAACTGAAAATTTCAATGATTTCTCTTCTGATCTCATGTAAAAATCAGAAAAGTTTGGTCAAAAATTGCACTGGTGCATTCTCGAGAAGTACTGACTCATTCGAGTTAATATTTCAACCTTGAAATTAAGTTACGTTCTTTTGTCCGGAAAACTATGATATCAAAGCTGCTTGCATATCCGTAAATTATGTTTCAACTTAAAAACTGCGTTCTGAACTTCTGAATTTCATATTAAAAGTTTTAATATATTTTTTTCGATTTCTCAAAAACATCACCAAAATTGTGGTCAGGGATTGCAAGCATGTTTCAACTTTAAAACTGCGTTCCGAATTTCTTATTAAAAGTTTTGATATATTTTTTCCGATTTCTCAAAAACATCCAAAATTGTGGTCAGTAACCGCAGTCATGTTTCAACTTAATAAAAACTGCGTTCTGAATTTCTTATTAAAAATTTTAATATTTTTTTCCGATTCCTCAAAAAAATAACCGAAAATGGTCGGTGATAGCTGTCTTATTCTTGTGAAATTATTGTTTTCATCAATTTCCTACGACCCTTTGTCTGGGGAACGACGGTTAGAGTTTTTTTTTGAAAAGAAGGGTTCACAAACAGAATTGTATAAAAGAATTATGAGCGAAAGCTTTTTGGTTTTCCTCTGTCAAATTTGAGATGCCAGTGGGACTTTCAGTTGACTCTCAAAATATCATCAAAATCCAAACACAAGTTCGAATTGAAATTCAACTTTCGTCGTAGAGAAATGAAAGTTTAAACAAAGGCAGATGCAGAAGCAAAAGGTGTAATTTTTTCTGTTAGTGAAAAAAAGGTGTTCTATAACCTCTATTTCTACTGTCTCAGAATTCTTCGAAAGTTGGAGCATACTTTCAAAACTTTTCGCCACACAAAGGAGAGTCTTTACCGTGCCATGCTTTAATTGCTGGGGGAAAGAAAAGTTCCCGAAGCTCACCTTTCCTGGTCGAAAGCCTCCTGCCTGCATCCTTTTTAAATTGAGACCAAGTCATTTTAATCCTGACTTGATAGATTCCACATGTTTTTATTCAAATACCTGCCTGTAGAACAACAGCAAATACGCAAATAAAAATGAACAAATCCTGATATCTTAGAGGTATTTTTCTAATTGAGAAAATTCCTTTGTGTGGCAGAAAGGGAAATAATATCAATCATCTAAACAATTCAAAGTATATGTGGGAACATTCTGTGTCTGACATTCTTTTAAACACCCCTTGACCATTTTTATTTGTTTTTTTTTTTACAGAAAAAACAGTGGATGGATGAAAATAATATAATATTAATGCAACACCCAATTTATAGGTAAGTTCTGAAAATAAATAAGCGTATACAATCTTTTAATTTCACTCAGAGATCGCCCCATAAACCGTGCATGGCTTTCTTTAATCTCGATCTTGAAGAACAAGTCAAGAAGTCAGCGACAGATGTGTTGTATTCCAGAGATCGCATGAAGTTTGTACTGATTTGTCTTGTTTTTTAACCAATAAAGGGCCTCTGACGGCTCAAAACNGGGGGGGGGGGGGGGGGGGGGGGGGGGGGGGGGTTAAAGTTTTCCAGCCTTATGTACTCATGCCTTCAGTGTGTTATCCTTATGTCTTATTTGGCTCTATTTTTATTTGATTAAAGTTTCAAGTTGAATCAAATTGATAATTTTCAAAATTATTATTGAATTTAGTGAGTTCAAATTTTCATTAATCCTCGAATCACCCTGTATCTGAAGAGGCACAAGAACATTTGTTGAGCAAATTAATGGCTCGAGATGAGAGTTGAACGCAGGAAAGTTAATGAACCATATTGGAGGGAGTTTGTAAAACAAATCGCGGCCTTGCTTTTTTCCAGTGGGAGCTGTTTTGATCGATGGTCTGCTATTTTCATTAATCCATTGACGTCATCAATTACAGATTTATCTCTTTGAAAGCTTCCGCTTAAATGAAGCTTGGGAATAATTTTGCGGTCGATCAAATGTTTAAAGTCAGTTTCCTCTCGCAATCGTTGTAATTCATTGTTTGATCTTCTGATAGTTCTGCAATTTGTTCTTAAATTGACGCTGAAGGCAGCATAATGATTAAACGTTTACTTCAGTTACTTCCGGTTCTGAAATAATACAAGTGCAGGATTACAACTGTCAAGAGAAACTTTGAAAATGGCAGGGAATTTTTTAGTTCGGAGTGCAGTATCAGGAATCGGATTGAAATGTTGTCTGATCATGTGGTAACATAGATTTTATTTTTCGTATTTGTTCCGAAATTTTGGTGATAGTAGTCAAAAATCTATCCGGTGAACCCAGAAAAGACATTCTAGGGGCTTTCGACTTTGGGAATCGGATTTTTTTCCTTTTGATAGAGCTAGGTAAAGTCATAATTTGGCGCGCATAGTCAGTAGTGGCGAGTAGTTTTTGGGATTTATTAATTTAAATCGGTGACTATTCTAGCGAATTTTGGCAAATTGTGTCGATCGAAGTCATACACAATTAAAAAATGTGCGTAACATCCAGCTTTTCTAAAATAAATTTTATACGTGTATCTTCAGTGCGGAGCCCGGAGCTGGGACCTCGCGCATACCTGGGCGGGCGGCCAGCGCGTTGGCGCCTACAAACCTAAATGGATACTTCAAGCATTGCGCAATGCGTGAAGTATCCACTTAGGTTTGTAGGTGCCAGTGCGCGTCTTGCGCCGGCATACGGCTTCGCCATTCGCCGCACACTAGTTTCATAGGTACGGGACTAAACAGCCTCAAAAAGTGAATTCATCGGCGCTCCAGTACATTGCAAAACTATTGTACTTAATACCCACAGCAAAAACTTGAGGTAACTTCTTTTATTAAACTTGAGGATTCGGCAAAGAACTCTGAAGTTCACCCGAAATTTTTTTGGGTGCTTTTTGTATTTTTTAACACGTTCAGAATGAAACCTCACCTTTCCGGACACTATACGACCAACACAGCTGCCTGAAAAAGATTCTTTAAAAATGCTGTGGAATTTTTCGAAATTTCAAGAAACAAGAAATTTTGCATCCCTGAGGGCGACCGTGGGAGAGTGAGCGGTAAAAGAGTGCGACGTGAAACGACACCCACATAAACCGAAATTCATTTGTCAACACAACTGCCCTAAAAAAGTCCTCAAGGATGTTGTGAAATTTTTCGAAATTTCAAGAAACAAGAAATTTTGCATCCCTGAGAGCGACCGTGGGAGAGTGAGCGCCGAAAGAGTGCGATGTGAAACGGCACCCACACAAACCGAAATTCATTTGCGGATTGTTCCCGGACTCATGAATACGTGGATCGGTTTTAAATTGGGTTCATCTCGCGCGAGTTCCGCGGTGGACGCTCCGTTGTGGCTCTCAAGATCACCCCCCCCCCCTCCTTCCACCCCCGCTCCATCAGGGTGCGTGATGTGACGTGACAGCGTTTAGGCGGAGGTGCCGATTCATACAGGAAAACACGAATTTCGAGGGGAATTCTGCCGTGCTAAGGAAGAAAGCCGTATGAGCCTTCAGGCGTTGCCAAGTTTCATTCGATAAAAACCGAATTTACTGGGACAATTTTGAATATTGTTTTCCAACATTTTCAGACAATTTTGTACGGAGTTTACTCTAAAATATCTGAAAATTGCAAAGAAAAATGTGCATAAATTTCGTCAAAACTGCATGTTTTATCGGAGGAAATTTGGCAACTCTCGAATGTTCATACGGCGTTCTTCCTTAGCACGGCAGAATTAGCGGGGGTTGTATGCCACGATCGGCAACCGTGTCTGAAACTGCCCACAGAGATGTGACCACTCGGTGACGGGCTCCGCTGTGAAAAGCGTTGAGTTGGAATTTTCCACGTAAATGTTGAACCCGCTTGAACGGAATAGCGTGGCGTGCTTCGCGATATATCGATTGATCTGCCGTTTAAACCTATGGGAAAGAATCGATAAACAGGGTGTTCGCAGCAAACATCTAAATGATCGATTTCTTACCATAGCTTTAAATGGGGAGATATCGATAATCGATCATTCACGCCTCGTCACTGCATGAATGAACCCGTGGACGGGGTTGGAATTTAAAGAGCGGAGTGTGTGTTTCTCCATCGAAATGTGTTTTATGATACGGTCGACACGTTTTAACTCGTGCATGAGAAATCAGGCCTTTTTCGTCTGTTGATTAATAATAAATTAATAAACAATTCAGTTTTATACACAGTCGATCTTGTGTAAAACGTGTTTTTCGATGCAACTGCACGTAATCAGGAAAAACAGTAATGTGAAATTTAAGAGAGGTAATTTTATTTTTCTTATAAAAGTGTGCACTGAATTCACGTCATGCTATTTCCAAATTTTTATCGGATGTGTGGGAACAGTGACAGATTTAAGGGGTGGTTTTGGAAACATCATTTTATTCTATTTTTTATTGTAAAGTATCATTGCTTCAGGGTAGTAAATTTCGTAACTGCATTTCAAACTTTTTTCTACGTAGCAGGGTAAAATATTTCACTGGCCCCATCCGATTCCGTCGGCAAAATGTAAATTTTCACGTGTAAAATAGCGTATGTGCCTTTCGTAACTTATCAGAGGGACAAGTTTTAAAATTCGGGAAAAAACATGCATTGTCATTCAATTTTAATCAACGATTACAAGTCAGAAATTCTTTAAAGTTAAGAAATTTTGATGTCTCGTATAAGTATAACATTAGGCACTTAAAAACTTGTTAATTTCTTCTTCTCTCCCGAAAATCTTGAGGAAGACTTTCAGGAAATGAATTCCGTAGACTATGGATATAAATGAAAGCAAACGCTTACGACGATTTCAGTTTATTTTCGAATGCCTTACTAACTTTAGAGGAAATGAATTGAAGTAGAATGCGTAAAAAGTAAAAGAACAGAAAACTAAAAAGAAATATCACTGCAATAATGCCCAGGCAAAAGTACTCAAAAAGAGTGGCATCGGCAGTCGAAGGCCTTAAGTGAGATGCCCCACCGTGTTTAGCGACGTGCTCTACCCAAAATACCGCTTGGTCCATTCCTCGAGCGGTGAAGTCATGCGATATGGCTGAAAGTCTCTTCATGTTCATGAAATATCTGAAATGTTCAATATAGAGGTTAAATGGCATTTCATATTCGTGCAAAAACGAAATCAGATGTAGGGTTAGAATGGAAACACGAAATACACAACTTAGCGCTGATCCCTAACACTTTCTATAAAATAGCGCCAACTACAGGCAGCGGGGCTGGACCCTAAAGCTTTAGGGATCAGCACTATTGTTTGTGGCCGACGCTGTTTTACCCAAAGTGTTAGGGCTGAGCGCTAAGTTGTTTTTTACGTGAACCCATGTTTCTTCATGTCTCAAGAAACATGTCCATGATGATTTACACAGTGTTTGATCCCTTGCTGTAAAATTGCTCGATAGTCTTTCTTATATAGTCTGTCCCAGATACGAAGAGCTCTGGAAAATCGGAATAATTTGCACGATGTAGAAGCAAGGTATCGTTCGTTCTATTGATACCCGTCTAATCACCGAGCCAACCCCGCACCGCACAGAGGGCTGGTTACGAGCTCCGCGGCGCGGCGGCGCCTTGCGTCGGGAATCCGCTCCTGGGTCCCGGGGAAAACCGGCCTCGTGCATCGCGTTAGTTCAGATGAACACTATCTAGCTTCTTATTGGTGGATGGTAATCAATCAATAAGGGATATAACGCAGTCCATTCTGTGCTTATTTCGCACTCGCATTCTGAACTTTACTGGAGGTAAAAATGGAGGTAAAACCTTTGGCCAGAGGAGCGACGATTAATGTCAATAATCAGGGATTTAAATCGCCTATCCCGGTCTGGAAATGCAAAGGGAGTATGCGTTGCCTCGAGGTGGCTTGCGACCCTCTGTGCGACGCATGTGAGAGGCGACGAGATGACAGGTGACGAGGGTCGAGGCACCCCAACCCGCCAAATAGTGCTAATTACTCTGATTTTCCAGAGCTCTTCGTATCTGGGACAGACTATAGTGAATATAAATAAGAAAGTAACGCGACATTGCTACGAAATCAGTTTTCAGACGAGAATTACTGTATTAAGTCTTCATACCACTGTTAGTTGTGCAAAAGTGTTGAAAATGAACACTCTAGTTTAAATTTTGTGGGCCGTTTAAGGGAACTGAGTTTTCTTCTATTATTTCTCTCCCTTTTTCACGGCCCCTGTTCACTTTGGTACGAATGCATTTTTGCACGTCTCTGAATGTATAAAGCTGATAAAGAGCCCCTCTTTGCGTTTGCGTTAAGTAATGCTGCAATTGCTCCCTAAGTACAGCTCTTCAAGAAGTAGGGAAACTCAGCACTTGTTGACTATTTTTAACAGTCGAGCGCAGTAAAATCACCGAAAGAAGAAGTAAACAGGAACGGAGCTTCCACATTGATTAGCATCATACTCTACAGAATTGGGTTTTTTTCATCTCTAATCATTCTCATCTCTCTCTTTTTGGGGAAGGCAATTAAAACTATGCTTACTTTTCATTAAAAAGCACAGTTCCGATAGCGGTTTTGACCCTCTCGTATGAGTCGAGATCGCTTGGGAGCAGTCGCACTCCGATTTCTGCGTCCACTATTTTATTGACGTTAACCTCTTGGTCTCCAAACCAAGGGATCCCCACTATTGGAGTACCATAGTGCACTGTCTCCTGGAAACTTTGGAGTCCACCTTGCATGATGAAGATTTTCACCTCTGGGTGAGCTGAAAAAAAATGAAGAAAGAGCCATTTAAGATATAAACTGAGTATCAGTATCCTAGCAGAAGTACTTTATATAGTGGATATCGCTTATAACGACATCGGACAGCGACGAGATCTCTTCGGTCCCGGCCGAAACTCCATTAGATCAATGTATTCAGGTATCGGATATAACGACGGCGCTTAACGGAGGATAAAGTCTAGGAGTTATTCAGTTTCAGCGATTAAAATTTGTTTAAGAAGCACGGTACCTAAAACACTTTCTTGTGGAATCCATTTTTGGGCGAGGATATTGCTGGATTGTCCCGGAATTTCTCCGTCCAGCTCCCATTTCCACAAAACTCGGTAACCTTGTGGCTGCAGCTCTCTAAAACACCTCAAAAAGTTGGCCAGCACATTTTCAGGCAATGATTTACTTCTTACGTTGCTCCCAAGACTGAAGTATATCACACCAGTTTTGGCGTCGTCAAGCCATTTTTGTAAATTCTGCAAAGTCAAGAATAGTTAAACGATAGAATACCAGTAGAATACAGTTTTTTCCACCGCATCAGCTCAAACAAATCAAGTAATTGAATTAAGATTCATTTCGGTAACAGATTAATATAAGATACCGCGCTTTGAAAAATTCGGTTTATGACCTTATCTCTGTGGGAGTGACACCCTCACCCTCAGCCTGAGACTCGGCTGAAAGCAAGGAGGAAGAAATCAAGTGTGTCACTGCCGCGTTGGATGATATCTCAAACCGAGTTTCTTAAAGCGTGATACCTTGGTAATTTAAGGAAGAAATTTACTGTTTGAACGGATCGTATTATTTTTAGCTTATCCACAAGATTCGAGCATCAAAGCACGATTCTGTAACCAGCGCAAGTGACCCATTATCACAAGAGTTGGTCTAAAATGACCAAACTTAAGATAGATTCCAACTTAGACAATTAAACCGTCCCGAAAACACAGAAATAACGTTGATAAGTTCGCCTTCAAAAATTACCTGCGGTAGTTTTTCTGATTGCTTGATATGTAGTGGACCAACTTCGATGACGTTGGGACCTAGAAGTCGAGGATAAAAATAGATCGGGTTGGATGTGATCAACGAAAGACTGATCTTCGACTGCCATTCGCAGCCACCTACAATACTTTCATATTCAGGGCCGTAGACGTCCTTGCAATACCTGCGCGTTGCGATACCCATTTGTTTCTTCAGTTCAGGCACTATGTAGTAATGGGTAACCCAATTGTCCAATTTCTGCCACAGACTCATCCGATTCGTGTAGCTCCGTGAAGGCTGGAAGGATAGGTGCATTATGCTTCCGAGATGATCCTCCGCCACGAAGTCCGTCGTTATAGAAGACATAGAAATAATCGGCGCAGATTCAGAGAACTCCTTGGCTAATATACACGCGTACGGGATGTAGAGCGTCTCGATGATTATAAGGTCGAATGTGATTTTGTCTGACTTCACGCGCCTGTAACAGAGTTTTGACGGGGTGTGAAACGACCCGGTCCAAACGACACTATCAAACGATCAAACCAAGCCTGTTGATTTAACAAGGTCGGATTTCCGGGATTCTGATTGATTCTGGCCGTAGCGTAGGCGCCAAAAGCCGCACTGGAAAAAAAAAAAAACACATTGGATCTGGAGTCCAGACTCTTAAAAACATCGACAAGAAAAGATACTCTTGATTCGATCAGATTTAAGCTCAAATCATGAACCAAGCCTCTTAATTTGAGCGGATTTCCTTTCGAATTAAGCTTAAATCTGATTGAATCAAGAGTCCTTTTTCTTGTCAATGTTTTCAAGAGTCTGGACTCTAGATCCAATGTGTTTTTTTTCCAGTGCGGGATTTCAAACCCTACAATCCACCCAACCAATCAGAACACGATGCTCTATCAAACTGAGGAGATCCGCGTCAATTTGATAGCGGCGCGCTCTAGCTGGTGAGGGAACAGCCAATAACGGCGTCCACCTTGTAGAATTGATGAGCTTAGTTTGATTGCGTAATAGTATCTTTTAGGTCACGTGCAGTTTATTAAGAACCATTCCTCCCCAATTGCTTGGCCGAAAATGAGGTTAGATTTTTCAGAATTACGACAAATTAATTTTTCTGTAAAATATTCGGGTATCTTCCGAGTTAGAAAATTATTTACAGTTTCAGGGGCTAAAATTAGGCGTGTGTAGTCGAATTAAATACCTTGTTTACATTATCTTCCATTTTTTCGACGCCAACCAATCCAAGTAGCAGTAGCTATACATGGTGGATCGGAATATGAACGGATGAAGGTTTTTATTTGGACTACCCTCTTTCTGAGAAACAGAAGGGAATATTCCCAGGCATGTGTATGTACTTTCACTACTGAAGTTTAAAATGAGTAATTTGTAAATGTACCTACTCACTAAGGAGTTTCACTTGTACATCTACCCCTTTACCTTCGTTATACTTACCGATTGAACTGCAAAAATGCCTCACTCATAAGCTGCTTCCGTGCGACATCGGCAATGCAGGCCATAACTCAGGAAGTTTCCATTTAGACACTGGTCTCTGCACATTCACCAACTCGCTATCATCCGCTTTTTTGTCATCTGTGAAGTACTGGTACGAAAACGAAAAGTCAACGTAGGTGTAATTTGTATGTTCTTCCAGACCCTGAAACGTAAATTTTAAGTATGGGTGTTCGAAATGTAAACATACGAAATCCTGCAGCATTAATTATCAGGCATCAACTAAATATTGTGTTGAAAGTGTTGATGTACAACATTATGTCTTTGTGTAATTTTTGTTTGTTTGCTTGTTAGGTAGCTAGTGCTACAAGTTAAAATTAAAATTGTTAACTCATATTAACATGAAAATGAAGTATTTATTATTCGAAGCTTTTCGGCCTTGGCCATCGTCAGGATTTGGCAAAAAAAACATAGTTCGCATGATTAATCTTGATTCATATTAGTTCATGCAAACTTCTATCTTTAGAAAGTATGAATGACCTAATATCAATCAGAAATAATCATTTACTTTTCTCCTTACCGTACTCAAAGTTGTATCTTGAGAAAGTTTGCATGAAGTATAATATCAATCAGAATTAATCATATATTCTGTCATCTCAAACTTTGATTTTTTGCTAAGTCCTGACGACGGCCAAGGCCGAAAAGCTTCGACTAATAGAAAAACTTTATGTTTATGTTAGTGTGTGTTAACAATTTTTGTTTTAACTTATAGCACTAGCTACCTAACAAACAAACAAAATATAAAGAAAATAATTGTTGTGATTGTCGATAGAACATTGAATATCGAACATCATGCTTTCGAAAGTATTTACACACTAGAAATATGTTGGAATTATTTGTCCCAAAAATGACAATTTTATTGCTTAACAGATTATTCCTTAAATGTTTGGTAGATCTCGAAGCGATTCTAGCCTTGTCTATAGCTTCTTGAGGAAATTAATGTTTCTCATCTCAACTACGTGATTGTTCGGAAATAGTACTTACGGGCACAGCATTTGGACTCATAACAAAAAGTTTATGACCATCTTTAACCAGCCTCTCCGTCAGGGCTAGAATTCCCCGTTGATGACTGTAGCCAGGACAAGGATAGAAGACCAGAATATTGAAAGCCTTACACGCACTCAAAAGTAAAAGTACCAAGAGACTTGTACGAATCATTGCTCGTTTCTTTTAACGTTCGTTCTTATAGGAGAGAGACTCTGCTCACGAAACTGGAAGAAAGAGAGAAAGAGTAAGAAATAGGAAAAAAAGTCGTGTTACATCCTTATTAATTCACCTATTCATCAGCGAAAAAATCATCGAGGAAGGTAAAGTTTTAACATCGTCAGTTATAAGGTTATTTTTTTTCATCTTTTGCTTGAATTCAAAACGGATCTTTATTTCAGGATATTTTTTAAAGTAAGTGTCAGACGAACGTTAAATGACTAATTTTTACGTAACTTCATTGTAGCTTTGACTCACGAAGCAAGACATCCAAAATTTGCAACGCTTTACTTTTATTTCATAACTAATATTCTTTGGTTTTATTTAACTAATAATAATACTTCCAACTCATTTACCCTCTAGTACACCATTAATGGTACATTAAAATTACTTTGAGAAGGTGGAGGCCGGAGGCAGGTTATTCAAAGCTAGTTCACATTATTTGCAGGTGGGCGTCTGTTGCAGCATTACGAAGTGTTGATGGAGGTAGGCAGGCGGTCGGTAGGTATCGAAAAACCGTCAATTATTCAATGTTACATAATTCATACTTGGTACCTTATAACTCATTATCAAAATATAATTAGGATTCTCACCGTTATTCCATTCACTGAGTTATAACACTGTAAGGACGTTAGTTTGGTCCAAAACAAATCATTCTTCACCACACGGTTCTCTACGTAGGTTTCAAATCACGCCAGAAACAATTTAACACACACCGAAACAATTGAAGAAAAACAATGATGAAGGTGATGACTGAGGTTCACCTTATCATTTGGAAAAAATTCGCGCGCAAAAAAAATCGGAACGAATTATTAGCCATGGCATAAAGTGTTCGCTTTTTTATATTTATTTAATTCGATAGTATAATTAAATCGACACCATGTGAATCCGTCGGGAAACGTACGCTCGTTTCAGAAATATGAGACTCACTAACGGACAGTCCTAGGAATGCACTTTCCCCATGTTCACAGTTTGACTATTTTCGCAAAATAAGTCTTTGGTCCCGTAGTGTCTCCATGGCAGGTAGGAGTTTTCTGCAATATCGCTTCAAACTAGCGCCAGCAAATACACTCGACTCAGATAAAACACTTCAGCGTATAAATAAAGGTGACACCTATAGCCGAATGTAGATTAAGTGTTTCCAAAGACTCGTACAGTTCAAAGTGGCCTACTGTCGAGAGAGTGTGGGAGGTGCCAGTGATAAAAATGAATCGTCAGGAAGTAGAAGATAAGAGGAGACTCCGAGGAAGTTGTAGGATTGATGTTGATGTACGTATGTATGTCAATAAAGTAAGGAATGTAATTAATTAAACTAACCACCAAACTCTTTTTTCAAGGAAACAAGAGGAAGACGTTCAACAAAAGTAGTTTCTAAACCTTTAGCGACTTTAGAAGCAATGAATTTTAATAGTATATTCAAACATTAGATCTAACATCGTGAACTATTTCCTCGTTTGGGCGATTCGCCACGGTTTTAAGGCGATCTGATCACGTCCTATTTGGAAACATTATTCATATTGTTTTAAATGGGGGAGAAAAATAGTTGTCAACCCATTAGAATCGCCACTGAACTCAATCATTTGACAACTTTTCAATAACACTGAGGGTTCGTATTTTGATTTCCTCGTCGATTCTGTTTCTTTGCAACTACAACTGGATAAATCACGTGCATAGAATCTATTATCTGCCGCCAATGTGTGCTCCTGCTGAGCGGACGCCACGGGCGCCTTCAATTGATGGCCCCGCAACACAACTCCCAAGTGCACGAATAGTTGCATGTCTGCGCCGTGGCTCGTCAAACCGTACCATCGCGTCCGGTCAGTCCTGGCTTCTTCAAATGATCTGGAAGCATTAAATTTAAAAGAATGGGGTTCCCTTTCATTGCATTTTTAACACCTTATGAGTTCAACAGGTGTACTCGCATGTAATGCAACGTCCAGTATACATGGTATGGGCCAAATTAACATTAAAAAAGCAGCTTTTAAGTAACTTTGACACCGAGGCTCCTTTTTCCGTGGAGGGTCACATTTTTCCGATCCGCTTTTATGACTCTCGGGTGAATTATTTTATTTTAATTTTTTTCTATTCGACTGAATTTATGAAGAATTCCAATTTTTCATCCATTCCGGAGTCGTTCCTAATAATTTTACTCGGTTTTTTAATTAACGGCAGGTAGCTTTCGGAATTTCACAAACATGAGACTTTGGAGGGTCCCGGAAGGGGGGGAGGGCTGCTCGAATGAAAATCCCTCTCTGTGTTTGAGTAAGAGTGCATCGTCCATCAACGGTAAATCTTGTTTCCGGGAACACCCAGCGAGTGCAAAATTGCATTCATGACGTGCTAAAAAATAAATTATTTTTATCCTCCCGCGTTATCTTTTTTGTTTCCCTCCTCGGTTGTCCGCTCTAATTCCGCGCTACACTTTTTACATCGCAAAACGAATCATCGCAACTCCCGGGTTGCCAACCGACGGAGGAAATTGTGATTTTTTCCTCTTTTTTTATTTTCTCTTATCGAATATCGTAAAACTGAGTGTTTTTTTCCGATTAAGACTCCGACTGAGTGTTTTTTATTCAATCAGAATCTAGATTAAATCAAGAACCAAGCCTCTTAATTTGAGCAGATTTCCTTTTGATTCAAGCTTAAATCTGATTGAATCAACAGTCCTTTTTCTTAGCAATGTTTTCAAGAGTCTGGACTTTAGATACAATGTGTTTTTTTTTTCCAGTGTGAATATTTTTATCTGTCATCGACCTCTCGTAAAACAGAGTGATTTCAACATTAAAATAAGACCGTCTAAGGAAGACAATTTCTCCCATTACTCAGGTCAATCTTCGTTAAACTTGTGCTCCTTTGAAGGAGCGATAATATAAATACGTATTTTATTTTATTTAATGAAAAAATCAGTACACAGAGAACATTGATCCATTCTGAAAGCGGCTTCATTTATTGCGCCCGCATTGATTCATATTTTTCCTTCCTCAATATACAAAGTTTTTTTTAATTATAAACAACAAAAATTGTCAAAAGCATACAGATTGAGTTGAAGAAAATTGTCGTGGCTTCTAATTTGCTGCTGTGTTGTTAAAAGTGAAACACTTTAATATACTCCTCAAGGTCCATCACGCTTAGAATGGAATTTTAATGATACGTTATGTGACACTACTTTTAGGTGTTGGTACAAAGTTTTTTCATTGGTGTCTTTCGTGACACAAATAATGAGTTTTAAAAAATGAAGTGATAAATTTAACACAAATATTTGATTTCATTGAAGAGTCATGAACCCTCTAATTTGTTTTTATTTATACAAAAATGTCTACTATCTATTACTGTTAAAATCTGCAGTCGTCAGAATCGAATTTCATGTAGAAAATTTGCCAAAACCGAACTTTCGAAGCAACGAAACTTTTTCCTCAATTTCCTCCTCGTCTAGTAAGTTCACGCCGAACAGGCGACGGTTCCGGAGTGTGACAGTTTTATGCGAGTTTCCCCACTAACAACTTCACAGACACTCTCAAAGTCTCCAGACCCCCGTCGTAAATAGAGAGGCACTTCAGACCATCGCGGATGTAAATGCAGGACGTCGCAGGAAACGGAACATGACCACGTGTTGAGCTGAGGGCGGAAGAGAACAAAGCGAAGGAACCCAGCTCCAAGTGCAACTTCGAAAAGCTCGCGTGGGGACGTACTGATTCCGGGGTATAAAACGCCGCTCCTCTGACGTAACCGCGTATCTCAATTTCCACATGAGCCCCAAAAAGCATAGAGCCATACGGAGAACAGGGCTCACGTGAAAATCGATACACGCCGTCACGTGAGAGGAGCGACGACAAGTCGGACACGTAATGGAATTAACATTCGTCCGGGAAATTGGAGGGAAAAGTTACTCTCAAAAAGAACGGAGGGCNGGGGGGGGGGGGGGGGGGGGGGGGGGGGGGGGGGGGGGGGGGGGGGGGGGGGGGGGGGGGGGAGCATGTGTTAGCTCACTTGCTATTCATTCCGGCGAGGTCGTTGAGATCCGGAAGTGAGAGCCTGAGCTGTAGTTAATTATTTAATTACGGGACGCTAACGTCGAGCCCCGGAGGCAGAGCACAATTTTTAGAGCTTGACTGTTCGAGGATTAGCCACGGCCGACGCTTATTTGATTACCCTGCCCCCCCCCCCCCNTTTTGCGGGGGTGACTCGGAGCTTTCGTTACGTTTCCTCCCGGTACTTTCGGAGCCATTAAAGAGGGGTTCTCACGAAACGATGTGGGCGCCGCTCTGGAAAAGTTGGGTCGTTGTGGCCTACATATGAAGGGCCGGGAGGGCAAGGCGCTTAAGTGCGGTTTTTGGAAATATTGAGATGTTAATTATTTAAAGTAAAACTAGTCTTATGTATATTCTGTGAAAAATTAGCTTCCAAATTCCAATTTTTAAACATCAAAGAGGGGTCACTCGGAGCTTTCGTTACGTTGCCTCCCGGTACTTTTGGAGCCATTAAAGAGGGGTTCTCGCGAAACGAGGTGGGCGCCGCTCTGGAAAAGTTTGGTCGTTGTGGCCTACGTACGACGGGCCAGGTGGGCAAGGCGCTTAAGTGCAGTTTTCGAAAAAATTAAGATACAGGGTTATTCAAAAGTCACGCACCACTAGCCATAACTTTATGTTCTAATTATGATATCGATTTGCGGCTGAAAACGTTTTTCCTCATATCGGGGAGGAAAATTTTTAAGGTACTTTCCAGTTTTTGATCCCCTCGGGGGGAGGGAGCAGGTGGGGGGGGGGCAACTAAAAAATTTCCAATCACCACCTCCCTCATGGCCAGTAGTGCGTGACTTTTGAATAACCCTGTATTAATGATTTAAAGTAAAACTAGTCCTAATGTATATTCTGTGAATACTTAGCTTCCAAAGTCCAATTATTAAGCATCAAAAAGTTGAACTGTCTTTCCGCCATTAGGATCTATTTACTTTAGAAACTTTAAACGCGTTTTTCTCGAAGTAGCAAAAACTGCACTTGTGCGCCTCGTCCTCCAAGCCCCCTCATATAAGGTCAGGGGGGTGACAATAAAGGACAGTGGTGTGGCGTTCTTTGCCTTATATCGATTGATCTGCTGTTTAAACCTATGGAATAGGATTGACAAATAGGGTGTTCGCAACGTATATCTCAATAATCGATTCTTCACCACAGCTTCAAATGAGGAATTATCGATTCACGCCGCGAGACATAAGCGAAATAATCGATCATTCACGCATCGCTGCTGGTTAAGGAAACATTGGGAAAGTCCGGAAATTGTAAAAACCCTGGAGAATATGGGATTTATCATTTTTATTGAAGATCGTACAAGCGCAAATTTAGCCTTTCCAAAGGTATTCGAAGGATTTTTCTTGTTTTAAGTGAAAAAAATTTCGCCAAAATTAGAAGTGGATTTTTTTTTTCATTTTTTTAAAAAATAGTCAGGGAAAGAAAATGTAAAACTAGGAGAATTTAATTTTAAGATCAGCTACTACGCTGACTCACTCAGCATTGAGTTCGAAGATTTCAAGGGTTGATAGTTTGGGTAAAAGTAAGATTCTCTCGAGGTATTACATTTTTAAAACCGTTTCTTTATGAAGCTGCACTACTATCGCTCTCTTAATTTTTAGAAAACACTATCTTTTTTCGCAACAGCTTGGCAGCGTTCCACCACGTAAAAAGCGATTTACGGCAGTAATTTCAAGCGCTTCTCTCATTTCTGACCCATCCTTTCCCATGAAGTGAAACTCGTTTTTTTTTCGAGGGACATTATTTTCACTAGAATTGATTTTTCTTCCGTAAAAATTTGATACCGATGAATCCTCAGTAATGAGATGTCTATTTTTGGAGATCTATGTTGAGTAGAAAACCTCCAATAACCCCCCGCCCCCCAGGTCGCAGATCATCATGAAATTAAGTTTGATCTATCAACGTTGCTACAGGAGATTTTTTTTCTCTCGAACTTAGCGAATATCACATCGAGGTGAAAAAGAAGATACGACGTATACGCACGTCAG